CGTGCGGATCATGTATTAAACATGCAGGGTTTTAGCATTAAAAACAACGATGAGTTCATGCGTACATTGATTCATAAATGAATCATGTATTAAACATCCTATATTACAAAAATCGCATGTTTTTAAAACTGCCCTGTATGCTTCTGCCGTGGTCCCTCTTCTGCCACCGCGCGGGCCGCCCGCTGCTGCGCAGCTCCTGCGCAGAGCGCTCCCTGGGCTCGCGGGCGGCGCCGCAGCAGCCCAACGCGCGTCCCCCTTGGACCCCGGCAGCCCAGAGGAGTTGGTGTGGGACGCCGGGGAGGCCCGCGTCGTCGCCACGGCGGAACGCGCCTCGAGCTTCTGGTCAAAATGCGCCCGGGGAGGAGGAGGAGGAGCAAGAGGGAGGAGGAGGAGGAGGAGGAGGAGGAGGAGGAGGAGGAGGAGGAGGAGGAGGAGGGGGAGGAGGGGGAGAAGGAGGAGGAGGAGGCAGAGGAAGAGGAGGAGGAGGAGGAGGAGGAGGAGGAGAAGGAGGAGGAGCAGCAGCGGTAATTATCGGTACCTTTCCAGTCGGTCTCCCCAAGAAGCGGCGTTTGCCAAGTAGCTCAGGGTCACGGCCCCCCATAGTCGGGGAGTTTCTGAGACACCAGGGCGATGGCGCGTGCGAGGAAAAGAACAGCATGAAACTTGCAGCCGTGGGTCGAGGCATGTTCCAGTGTTCGTTCCCTCCTCGTGTTTTTGTTGTCCAATTTCCTGGTTCAATACTTTGTGTTTTCGGGTGGCCGTTCCTGTCATGGAGATCGCAGTCTGTTGTTGTACTCCGACGCGGGTTCGACAAGAATTCAACGTGAATTCGGCACGGATTCGACGTGTTCAATACAAATGCAACACGCATGGCTGGCGCGATGAGACAGACGAAGTCCCCCAAAGATGCAACATGAGGCCAGCAATGTCGTGGTTCAGGTGGCCCCGACAGGGTGGTGCTTGTTGAGCAGCCCCCTGCCCTGCTCTGTCACTTGCACTGGGTGTGCTCGTTGAGGGCTCTCCCAGTAAGGGTACTTCTTCTGGGGGGGCGCTCTCTTCTGCAGCAACTGATCTCGGCCGGGAACAACTCGGCCAGGCTGAACCCGGCCAGGCTGGCTGATCTCGGCCAGGCTGAACTCGGCCGGACCGGCTGCTCTCGGCAAGACTGAGCTCGGCCAAGCTGCATTCGGCGTACAGTGCCGTTTTTAATACATGCTCCGCGTGCGGATCATGTACTAAAAATGCAGGGATTTAGCAATAAGAGCAACGATGAGTTCATGCATGCATTTATTCATAAATTGATCATGTATTAAAGATCCCATATTAAAAACATCTCATGTATTAAAAACTGCCCTGTAATTAGCTTCGCGTCGATTCGCAAGAGCCGACCAGATGGCGTGGGAGGCTCCCGTGAGCCCCCTCCTCAGAGGCAGGACGCTGCCCCTCGTGTCCTCCTCCTCCTCCTCCTCCTCCTCGTCCTCCTCCTCCTCCTCCTCCTGTAGCCGTACTGGCACAGGCGAGATCCCTGTGCTTGCAAGCACGTATCTTCAGTGCGGCTCGTGCTTGCGGGCCACCATCTACGATCATCCCGACAGTTTTGGCTCCCTCCCAGTGCGGCGGCCGATGGCACCGCCGCCGCCCGACCTGCCCGATGTCCTGCGCGGCCCCAGGAGGCCGACTTGGGCCTGCGGGGCCTGCGGCATGGCCCCCTCCAACTGGGCCTGCCGTGTGCGTTGCGCCTGTGGGCGGGAGGCTCCGCTGCGCATCCGCAAGACGGCCGTGGAGCAGCACCAACGATGGGAGAAGGAGCACGCTGCTGGCGGCGGAGGCCGCGGCGGCAAGGGCAAGAGCACGGGCCCCAATCAGCGGGGGGTCCCATCGTCGACTGTGCCGTCCGAGCTCGGCAAGCGGTTGGCGGAGATCGAGAAGCTCTTGCGAGGGCAGACGTCCCAGCCTGCTGACAAGGAGGGCGAGGCCAGCGCCAAGCCTCCACCTTGGCAGGCCAGCGCTGACCCCAAGAAGGATAACACAATCGCGGACGATGACACCGACGAGGTCAAGAAGCGCAAGCTTGCGAACCAGCTGGCATGCTTCGAGGCCAGCCTCAAGTTGGTCCCCCACGGCTCGGACAACGACGAGCTCCGCTCGAGCATTCAGCGGAAGATTGAAGGAGTTCGTGACCAGCAGAAGGCTCTGCGCACCCCTGCCGTGGTGCACCGCAGGGCCACTTCTGATCTGCAGAAGGCTACGTCTGCAGTCACTAAGCTGGAAGCGGACATCACCGAGAAGCAGAAGCAGCTCGACGAGTTGCAAGAATCCCTCCAGAATAAGCGCGCCACGCTGGAGGCCAAGAAGATCGAGGTCACTGTGCTGCGCGCGGAGGTCAGCCAGGCAGCACAGCAGCTTGGCGGCACGGCTACGGACAAGTCAGATTCCAACCCGGAGGGCTGGGGAGGGGTGGGCACGTCTGTGTGTTGGGTGTGTTTTGGTCTTTTGTCGGGGGTCTTGTGTTTTATTGTTTTTTTTTTTTTTTTTTTTTTTTTTTTTTTTTTTTTTTTTTTTTTGTTTTTTTTTTTTGTTTCTTTTTTGTTTTTTTTTCTTCTTTTTTTTTTCTTTTGTTTTTTTTTTTTTTTTTTTTCTTTTTTTTTTTTTGTTTTTTTTTTTCTTTTTTTTTCTTTTTTTTTTATTTTTTTTTTTCTTTTTTTTTTTTTCTTATTTTTTTTTTTTTTTTTTTTCCGTCGTCAAGCCAGACGATGTCGACGATGAGGAAGTGCGCACGCTGCTTGGGTCTACCGCCTGGGCCAAGTTCCGAGAGCACCTCGCGGGTAAGATGCCCGCCCCGGAGGACGCCTCCATGCCCCAGGCACCTGATGATGTTCCTGGTGACGCTGGCGGCGACGGCGGCGGCGATCTCAAGCGCTCCCTGGACGAGCTGGAGGAGTCTGAGAGAGAGCAGCTCTTCGAGGCGGCCAAGTCAGGTGCAGAGGCTTTCGCCAAAACGCTTGGCGACATGGCCAAGCGAAGGAAACGTTCCTGACCTTCCTCTCACGTCAGGTCTGCGGCTCTGTGATGGAGCTGTTAGGCGACTTGCGCAGCCTGATGCTCAAGGCACATTATTTGTTGAAGCCTTCAATGCTTCTGGAGGCCGTGACACGTTGAAGGCACGATTGACCAAGACGAAAGCTACGATACTGCTATGCCAGGAGATAGGATACATTGAGGACAGCTTGGATGATCTTCACTCCTGGACTCAGAACCGTCAATGGAAATGCTCTGCCATACCTGCCCGTCGTACGTCAGGTACCGTTCCCTCAGGTGGAGTTTGGGTATGTTCCTCGCAGCTTGGGTAGTGGGGTGTAGGCGCTTTCGGTGATTCCATGCCTGGGGCCCCAGAACCTTTGGAGGAGTTCGATAAACCTTCTGAAGCTAGGCGATGCCAAGGCTAGACGATGTAGGCGAGTGCTACATTCCGACACCAGAACGTGACTAACGCTCACTGAAAATATTGCATGAATGTGCACAACGCAACACGAAACATGTACGACACGCAAGTTTGAAGCCGTCGTTTTGTAGATAGCCACGATTATGCTGTGCACGCCATGCTATGCCGCGGCGCCAAAAAACGATCCCACCACACGTTTCACGCCCAAATATGAGGTTGCCTGGCGACGGAAATGAACAACATTGTTGAAACGCGATTTCCAAATCAGCAGTCTTAGCAATTTTCGTTGTCAAAAACAAGGTTTGTGTGAATTCTGGCTGGACCGCGAGACCCGTGTGCCGCGCAGAACGGGCTTGTCATCGCCGCTGTTGTGATCAACGACCCCCTTCCGTAGCCATTTGGGTTCTGATGTCGTCCTTGTTTTTTGATCGCTTGTCCGCTACACTGCTCAGCAAGGCTGTGCGCCGCCCAGAGGGAATTGGCATTTCGAGAGGCAATTTGGAGAAATGGATATCAGAAAATGGGTTTCGTCCGTCTTCAAGATTCATAGACAGCTGCTTCTGGGACCCACGTATTTCAAGTTTGAAGCTGGGCTTGGAATTTTATGATATCGATGCCGCCAAACATGTAGCTGAATTCTGCGGGGTGGCGTCGGGTACTGTAGACTGGCAGGGCATGTTCAACGATGTGAGGGACAATCTCGGTGATAATTTCCTTGCGGTGGATGAATTGTCTATCGCGCCCGCCCCGTTAGTTCAAGCGGTCCCAGCGCCGATTCCAGGGCCAATCGTTGCAGGTGCCGCAGGTCCAGCTGTCCACGTGCCTCCCCCTGTTGCGCCCATGGTTCCCGCAGAGATCAATCGTGAGACAGTCTCCCAGATGACTAAAGAAGATTTGGAGGCGTTGGTTTTGAGCCAGCATCGCCAAATCTGCCGATTGACTGGACGTCTTGCGCGGGCTCTGGCTACAAAAGAGTCGTATTACAAGACAATAGAGAGGAAAAAGGATCAGCTCTGCACAGCCAAAGAAAAAATTGATCAGCTTAGAAACGAGAAGACGCAATCTGTTGAGAAGATTTTTCAAGGCAAACAATCTCGCTACTTTACCGTCCGAGGCGGCCTTTCGTTAGCGCTGCGCCGCACAATGGCGGGAATCGGTTCAAACCGATTGGGTTTGGTCTTGCAGGAAGACTTAGGTCGACGTGCTGTGACTTCTGCAGAAGTTCGCCTGCGAGCTTCGCTACTGGCCGCTACGAGGAGTTTCAACAAGGATTGCCGCGCTCGTCTGATGCTGGAAGCCGATGCTGACCACGAGGACCTCGAGGTACCAGAGGGCGCACCTGCTGAATTGAAGTCTATGTTGAGTTGGCGGTTCTCGATGTACAGTATCAGAGGAGATGCGACAAACGCTTTTGTATGGCAAAGTCGCAAGCTCCGGTGCCAGGAAGTTCAGTCATGGTTCTGTTGCGATGCAGTATGCGCTTGGGGCCTGCCAGAGAAAGCAATCGAGTCAGTGGACCATTCACGTTTGATGTCCGAGCTTCAGGTTGTCCCTGGAGGCGGCGCCGATATGACGTTCGCCATGGTGGTCAAGCAGGCGCAGAGCCTCCACGTCAATTGTCTCGCAGACAGGCGCGGTGACCACTTACCCGACCTAGACGCTTTGATGGCGGGGGAGTTGCCATTGCCTGTGATGGACGACGAGATGAGCGAGGGCGAGGCGGAGGATCCCGACCCCGGCAGAGAGATCGTGGAGATTGCGCCTGCGGCAGGCGCCGTTGCCGAGATGTGCCCCCCTGTGCCAGATCGCATTCAACCTGATGACCAGCCGCGAGTCATCACGGTCATCGCGCTCACGACCGACGCTGGATCAGACGAGGCGGCCGCGCGCCGCATGATTCAGAACATATTTTTGAAAAATGCAAAGGTGTGGGTTGTGGAACAGCACTGCCTTCAACACCAATATAATTTGATTGTCTTGAACAGTCTGAAACGCGCCAACACTTTTATGGACAAAAAATGCGAAGTGAGATACCTGCCACTTCTCACGAAACTGATGCACATCTGGCGCGCACGGGCAGTTACAATATACAAAACATGGTGTAGAATGTTCACGGCCAGCGATGCCGAGTGCGCCTCCAGGGTTCCTCCAAAATGCATCCAGGGCAGGTGGGGATTTGCATCGAAGTGTGAAAGCTTTATTTTGGGTTGTCACTTGGGCCAGCTGGCTGCAGTATTCCAATTGATTTTTGAAGAGGATGCTAGCAAAAAAGATAAGAAAGCGAAGAAAGAGAAAGACCCCATGGAAGTACGAGCAGAATCTACCACTGCATACATGGAGCAACTATCTCGCTGGTCAAAAGATGTATGTGAAGGAATCCTGAAGACGAACCATTTTTTTGGGGTGATGTTTGTGATGAGCAAAGCACGCGAACCACTCGATCATCTGCACCATTTTCTACAGAGGAAGCATTCGCGTGATGAGCTCCAGCCATCGAGCCTTGCCCTTCTGGTGTGGGGGAAAGCAGCAGCGATACATGCAGAGCTTATCGATTTGTGCCGACCGAATTCCTGGGCAGATTTTCTGGGCGGCGTCCCGGTATCCCAGGCAGGCGACTATTCCAAGTTTGCTTTAGATGTTGCTTGCTCGCATCTCGCTGACTACGAAATGCGCGTGCTTTCAATCGTCAATTCCCTGAATTGCCAAGTGCTCCTTCTCGGGAAATGTTTGCCCGGAGACCCAGACGAGAAGCGAAAGAATATTGCTGCGGATATCCTAGCTGTCCCAGAGAGGGAGGCGCCGATCCTGGTGATAAAAATACGGTATTTGTTTTGGCGTGAGTTGGCGTATTGCAGAGACAATGCAGGCCGCTTGCCAACCACACTGTGGCTGATCATCCGGACGATTTGCGCCGGCCTCAAGGCCGAGACCCAAGACATAGAGGGGATCAATTCGGTGATCAAGGACTGCCGGGACAAAGGGAAACCGCGGTTAAACCCGACGAGCAGTAGAGCCCTCATGGGCTCTGGGCCCTCAGGCCAAAGTTTGTCAGCCCACCAGCAGTCGAACAGGAAAGATCGAAAGTATCTCAGTAACTCAGGGTCCCTCAGAGCCTCAGAGCCTCAGAGATCTCCATGGGCCCCAGGGAGCCCTCAGAGAGGACCTCAGGACCTCAGGCCCAAGTCCACGAGCCCGACGCCACAGTCAGGTGGGAAGACGGTTTGAGCAGGAGGAGGCGAGGGGATGTGGGATGGGCTGGGCGGGGCAGGCGGAGATGGAAACGGCGAGTTCCGATCCTTGAGGATGTGATAAGGAAGGCGCCTGCTATCAGATTGCCATTATTAGACGCTCGAGTCGGGAATTGCAAAACCATGTGCTTGGGTTCTCGAGGGGCGAGCCTCAAATGGACGGACGTACATGATCGGTTTCACGCAGTATTGGATAGCGCTGTGAGGCATGCCAGAGAGGTAGACAGCATCCTCGGGGACCCTTGCCGATTCGCGCCGTGCCATCCCGTCGCAGATGTGCCGCCAGCGACAGGTTCTTTTTTGGCCGATCCCCGATCCCCAAATATCAATGAGATGCAACAACAAGAAATACAACAACCACGTTCGCTCCGGGGGCCGCTCTGGCGCCCTGGGGCCCTGGGGCCCTGGGGTTTGCGAGAGGAAGCAACTCGCCATCTCCTCAGCTGAACCAGCTCCTCTTCCCGCTCTCGCCCCTCGCCTACTCCATCGCCCTCGTCCTCCTCCCCCTCATTCTCCTGGCCCTCCCTCCGCCTCCCTCTTCTTCTCGGCCTCCTTTTCTCATCCTTTCTGTCTGCGCGTCGCTTCCTTTACGCTTGGCGGGGGCATGGGGGCATTTGGCCATGGGGGCGTAGGGCCAAGGCTCCCTAACACCTAACACAACCCAGGCATCGCTATCTCCGGCAAGCGGGTGAGCAGTCTTGTTACACGTTGGGCAAACTTCTACAGCCTCAGAACCTTGAACGCCATTCGGGACCGACGGGGAGAAGACGACCCTGACAGACCTTGTGTTCTCTTTGTGCCCTGCATGGACGGCTCACCAAATAATGTGATGTATCACGTGGCGAAGACGCATGGCAACGCTGTGTTTCTGCAGAGGGTGCGCACTGACACCCCCAGCCTGAGAATCGAATGCACCCCAGGGGTCGTTTCGTCCGAGACGGCCGCGCAGCTATTTGCACGTATGCATGCATATTTGCAAAGTGCAGGGGGGGTTGGACGGGTCGGGATTGCCGACGTCCACTACCGAGCTGGGGTGCCTTTGCCTGGGCTGATCAACGACTTGTTCACGCTGGATGTCAACTTTGGGGCCCCCAAGCCGAAGAAACGCAAACGACTCGGCGGGGCGGGGCAGGGGCGCAACGCTGAGCAGCAGTAGGGCAGTCGGTTGCAGGGGAGAGCGGCGAGAAGCATACCTTTTCCGGCGGCAGCCCGCCAATGACTTCAGGGAAGCATGGCGCGAGCACGCGTGGCCTCTTGTGGGCTTGTGGGGCCCGCGGCCTAAAGAGTGGCCCAGGGGCCCAGGGGCCAGGGGGGGAGGGGGGGGCGAGGGGAGGGGAGTGGGGATTGAGGGACATGGGGGACCCTGAGGCCCCAGGGCCAGTCCTGGAGTCCAAGTCCTGGATCCCTGGCTTCCTGGGGGGAGGGGGGGAGGTGGAGGAGGAGGACGTGGAGGAGAGGAGAGGTGAGGGGACGGGATGGGAGGGGGGGGCGAGGATCAGGAGATCAGGACCACGCAAGGTTCGGAGCAGGGGAGGTGATGGGCCAGCTGCGGTCGCAGCGCCTGCGCATCCTGCGCATCCTGAGCTTCCCGAGCTCCCCCCTCCCCCAGAAGCCCCAGAAGCTGATGAGCTGCCAGGTGATGACCTAGATCAAGATATTGACCTGGATGGGATGATGGAGCACTTAATGGAGGAGGAGGGGGAGGAGACATCCCTGGAGGCCGAGGTTGGCGTCCTTCCCAAAGAGCTTGCCCTAGCAGAGGAAGCGGAGAGAAAAGCGAGCGAGAGCGGCCCTAGCAAGGGCGGCGTGGGCCGCGGCAGGGGCGGCAAAGGCCACCAAGGCCGAGGCCGCGCAGGGCCCAAAGGCGAGTCCGGGGCAGCCTCAGCTGATCCTGAATCTGAAGCCAAGCTGACAGCTGCCATCGAGGCGGTCCTGGGGCCATGCATGGGGGGCGACGATAGCAGCAAGGGCAAGGGCAAGGGCAATGACCACCACGATCACGCTGGCGACGGCGGCGACGGGGGCGAAGACGTCGACGCGGTGCATGGTCCCCTTTGGAGCAGCGGCCCTGATGCAACAGATCTTCACGTGGCCAAATGCTTGGTCGAAGCTGGGGCTGCTGTTGGAAAGGCAGCGCCTGATGCTGGCGGCGGAGAAGGGCTTACAAGGTGATAGGGGTAGGGGTCCTGGGCACTCGAAACCTCAAACCTTTGCAAGGCATGCGAGGCATGCGGGCCTCGATGGGCCCTCGACGGAATCGCGGTTGCACTCCAGTACTCCAGAGTGCACTCGGGGCCTTATGGGGGCTCCAAATGCTTGGTTCTCACAGGATCCAGTAAGTTTTGGGTCGCCAGATGAAGCCCTCTGGGTTCTTGGGCAGTTTTGCATTGTAAGACCATGTGGTGGGGGGCATTGTCATGCTTGCGAAGCAACCATGCCCAACTTGGGTTCGCCTGCTGTCAGATCTCGAGGCCCTCTCGTTGACCTATTGCAGCCTCTGACATCTTATATCCCTTCTCTTCCTTTGCCTCCTCCTCCTTCTGCCCTCCTCCTCTCCTCCTCTTCTTCCTCTCCACCTCTGCCACTCTCGCTCTCTCGCGCTCCATCTCTCGAGAGCTTCTCTCGCGCTCGCCCACTCGCCCTTATACTCCTCATCGCCCTGGCCCCATCGACCTCACCCCCCCATCCCATCGCATCCCAGAGCAAATCCCAAGCCCTCAACTCCTCAACTCCGCCCCCCATCGCCCATCGCCAACTCGCTCCTTCCTCGCGTCCTCAACCTCTCGTCTCGCCCGGGAGGTTGGACGCTGCCCTCGCAGCGTGGAAGGTTGCGGCGTCCTTGTCGCAGGAGGCCTTCGAGAAGGCACGCGCAGCCGATCTCGACCGTGAGCTCCTGAAAAAGGCTGCGTCTGAAGGGTATGTGTCACTTGTCGAAGACGATGCTGCACGTGCGATTTATATAGTTTGGAGGCCACAATCAGGCCGCGCGAAAGGGGTGCAAGTCGAGCTGAGACATGGAAAGCCTGTGTTTCTCCCAGAAGTGACCATCAAGTCACAGAAGCTGGAACGGGACTTCGAAACAGCAACAATCATACACCCTCTTGTAGCGAAGTACAAAAAGATCAAAGTTGACAGAGAGCACGTCCCCCCATGGGCTCTTCAACTTGAGCGGGCGTGGACATTGTGCATCGATGTGAGGAGCGGGGCCGATCGACAAGGCATCCAGTGCCTGCTGTGCGAATCTTCCGGGTCTTCTGGGGCGTCGGGTTCAGTTGCTGACCCAGTCGCGCCAGCATGTGAGGATGAGTGGGTTGAGCAATGCGTCTACTGCTGCATGTCATTTCACGTTGCCTGCGTGGAGGCGCTGCGACAGCGCCTGCTAATTCATTGCAAGTCTGGCCCTGGCCTCAGCGGCTCCAGTTCTTCATCTTCGGCGGGCCCTGCAGGCCCGCCGGGGCAAATTAGCGTTGCAAGATGGCCAGCGGCAGGACTCAGCCTGGACAAGTGGGAGCGAGCTCTCTGCCCTTTGTGCCGAATGTGCCTGGCCTGAAAACTGGAAACAAATGCGCTGTGAATGCGCTGTGTGACTGTGAGCTCCAGCTGATCCAGCAGTGGCGAACGCACGTATTG